GGACCCCTATACCCTCTCTCCCCAGTGAAGATGTTCAATAAATAGTTTACTTAGCATTTTACTTCTGAATTGGACATCAGTTTATGGGCACCAGAAGAAGGGCCGTTAGTGCTATTGGTTGGGCAGCTGAAGATCATCCCCTAGACAGACTAGAGATGAACCGGGCAACCAGCGGCTCCTACGGGGGTAGCGCTACAAATACAAGGCATGCATGGGGAAAATCCCCTTCCTTGTTATGGAGATCTCTCTATTATGCATCCCAACAATATTTGGCCTCTCCATAGAAATGAATGGTAATCTTCCAGCGCACGCTCAGAAGAAGCGAAGGACCAGCCGGAGAGTTTGTATATCGGCAGCTATGCCTACCCCCGGGGACCATGAAGAGGCATAAAACTTTGTAGGGTGCCGGGGAAGACAGTGTAACAAAATATTCCCATACAAAAGTATAATTACCCTTTAAATGGAACGCATTGTGTGTTCAAATACTTTTCTTGTATTTATTATGCTCGGGACTAAAAAGCGCGTTTCCTTTTTTTTTTTTTGTCAGGTAAATATGTAATGCTTCATATTAATATTTTATATTTGCCAATTGCAGCCGGCAAGTGACAAGCCCAAGGCAAAGTAGGAACTTTGAAGGCTGATTTACTGCTATTAAATGGAATTCCAAAAAATCAACCGTGTACAGCGGAGAAGGGGAAAGATTTCTCCGAAGGACACATGAGCTGCTTGATGTCTGTATTGCGCAATACTCTATTGCCTCAAAACACCTGAACCCTGGACCTCCATTTATAATCTGTGAGCTCACCTAAATCGAGTTTGTATCTTGTGGGGAGGTGGGGGTGGAACACATGATTGTACGTGGACCACAACTGGGGCTATAGTGGGATGATTTTGCAGTGCAATGAATGCACTGCCGATGGGGAGGAATTGAGGTTGTGCAGTCTCCATAGGGAATCCGTGATATTTGAAACACTCAACTGCTTGCATATGTAACATTGACTGTATTATGAATTATTATTACACAGGATTTATATAGCGCCAACAGTTTGCGCAGCACTTTACAATATAAGACATTACAGTTACAATACAATTCAAGACAAGATGGTAAGGAGGGCCCTGCCCCTGAGGGCTTACAATCTAAAAGAGGAGGGGGAAATGATACATGAGGTAGCTGTGGGAATGAATTATGTGAGAATGTGAAGGTTCAGTGGTTAGGTTGAGGTGGGATAGGCTTCCCTGAAGAGATGAGTCTTTGGGGAACGCCTAAAGGCAGTCAAGGTGGGAGATAGACGGACAGGTTGGGGTAAGGAGTTCCAGAGGATGGGATAGACTCTAGAGAAGTCCTGGAGGCGAGTATGGGAGGAGTGGACAAGGGAGCTGGAAAGCAGGAGGTTAATGGATATTAAATTCAGGTACAATGAATGTTGTATCCTATTTGCTGTGTTACTAATATACACTATACAGTATCTTTGAATAGAGATACTGAAGCGGACCTGTCAAACTCTGCATAATAAATTCCAGACGCCACAATATGCAGCAATGGTATCATTTTTTAGAAGGACTCTACCTTTTATCATTCATTAAATAAATTTAAAAAAAAAAGACATCCTAGAGCCCTGGCCAATGACTTGGCCTAGGTCAGGGGTAGGCAACCTTGGCTCTCCAGCTGTGCTGAAACTACAAATCCCATAAGGCATTGCAAGCCACAGGCATGACTCCCAGAGGCAGAAGCATGATGGGATTTGTGGTTTCAGCACAGCTGGAGAGCCAAGGTTGCCTACCCCTGGCCTAGGTTGAGATGATGTTGTTGGTCTGCTGCAGGTAGGAGAAAGCATTTCCTTAGTCTTCTCTCCTCCACAGTTCAGACTGCAAAACTGTCACGAGAAACAATGTAAGAAAAAAATCCAAAATGTTAAGAGTTGTCCCCAGAACAAGACGTAAGGGGAAGTCTTCCAATGGGTGAACCTGTTCCAAGGACAACTGTCTAGGAGGGTAATTTCTCCCCTCCCACAGGTAGATTTCCTGTAACTTCCACTTGGCCAGGAGGACTGATGGCCCTCCATCAAAGCTTAGAATGGGACGTCACCCACAAAGGGCCTCTCAAATCAAGGCTGGTGTCTGATCCACTGTTCAGCCCTTGAGCCATATCCATTGGAGAACAATAGCTGATACAGACAGGCAGGAAACTAAGGGTCCTGAATCCAGAGCTGCCTCAGACATATTTAAGGCCCCGAACCAGTCGGTCCACAAACTTGACATAAGCAGGGAAGACCTGGTCTGAATCTAAACCATGCTGCAAAAGCCCATTCTGTCAGAGTCTGAGAAACCAACAGCGAGGCCAGCACAGCTCTGAGTAAGGTTCCAGCAATGGTGTACATAGAATGCATAGCGCCCTTCACCTTCCTCTTGGTCAGGTCCCTGAAGGTGGGTAGTTGCTCAGAATGACCGTGGCCTTATTTATTCTTAAACTTGAGGGTCCGTCACTGGAAGGGCAGACCACTTCTTAACAAAACCTTCCTCAAAAGGGATGGCGTGCTGAAAATATTTAGGCAGGATAAACAACCAATCAGGTTGTTTTCACACCTTATAGATACAATTGTTAAAAATGAATACTGGGGAAAAGCCCAGGGGGACTGCGTGGGTTTGCAAGTGCCAAACAGAACTGGGGTATCCTTGGAAGAAGAGAAGGCCTCCTCAATCTTAAAGAATTTAACGGTTTTCATAAGGACCAATATTAACTCCTTTTCCTGTGACAGCTTAGAACCAGACACCACCTCAGTGCAATCTGAAAGGACTAGGTTCAGGTTCTGCCTCAACAGAAGGGGCAGGGTATGTGGCACGAGGAGTCTCCTCATCAGAAGGGAACAGAGAAGGAGGGAACAGTTCTTAGAGGGCTTTTGCAACAAGGCTCTCTCCATATGAAAGATGACGCCTTCCATCAGAGAGTTAAACAGAGTCAAAGGCCAAAAACAGGTCTTGAGGCACAGGCGAAGCCTCCAGCAGGAAACCTGAAGATGGGAGCAAAGTCAATACGTCAGGTCCAGTTTGCAGGCAGGGAAAAGTGAATTGCTCAGGGAAACTGCATCAGATAACCCACAGTCAATATAGTACAAAGCGGGTCCCCGAGCTCTGCAGTCACCAGTTGACTGGCCCTCTGAAGGTCCACCATATACCTTGTGGGTTCCGGAGGATTAAACAGGAGGCCCCCTTAGATTTGCTTTTGTTAGATGCCCATCTTTCCTTGAGAGGGCCCAAAAAATTGCTTATTTCTAAATTTCTTCTCTGGAAATGTATTTTCCTTCTCTGCGGACCTAGATAATACCATATCTAATTCAGCCCCAAAGAGAAGTTTCCCCTTAACTGACTGTGGCATCCACCAGGTAGGAAACAGCCTTGGTTAGGGAAAGGTCTGTCCAACATCTGTGCCTAAACAAACCAATAGATACCCACATAACAGGTTATGCCAAAAGGGTCACCATAGGGGCAGGGAAAACACACTAACACCCGTGTACACCTACCCCAAAAAACACATCTGACCCCATGAAGCCAGCATTTACCGCTCTCGGCCCCTCCTTCCGCACTGAAGTCTTGAAGGACTTGGTTGCTGGCATCCGCTGGGTCAAGTCTGCCCCTTCGACCACCCAACTAGGGGACCCACAGCCTGAACCTTCTCAGCGTCTCTGCAGCAGTAGCCTGATTCATGCTTGGAAGTGCCAGACCCCCCTCTCAAGCCACACTTCCTGAAACCAAGGAAAGCCCCGGCATCAGTCCCTCTGCAGACTATACCACCACCGCCAGAGCGCTAGCACAGGGAGAGGTAAAGAGGCTAGAAGACACACCCTGGTGGCCACTTGCAGGAAGGTGAATCCACACCTAGGGACCCAGACCTGTACCACCAGGGCAGACTGTTGACCACGCGGCCATCCAATCACCAATGAAAAATAATAAAATGTGTGCTGCTCGTCCTGTTATAGGAAACACAAACAGAACTGAGGGTTTTTTTTAAAGTGTCTGCCTGTAGAAGGAGCCAATCTTTCTACAGGCAGACACTCTCCCACATCCTCTCTCACATAGCTGTTCTGAAAAGTTGATTGGGGAAATCCGAACTGCTTGTTGTAAATGGGGTGTTTGCCCACCGGTGGGGGCTGCCCCTAGTCTGTCCTTGTGTTTCTACCTAGTGTCCTATTCCTGCAAGTGATCCATCATTCAAGATCCTAATATCAATGAATGGAAGAGGAAACAGGTTTTGGCTGTACATACACTTTTCTTTTTGGCTACCCAATGATGTAATAAAATAAGATATAACAAGACAAAGAACAGAACACATTCTCCTTTATTAAGTTTTACAATTGTAATATTAAACATTGTGAAACCAAAAAAAGAAAAAAAAAAAAAAAAAAAAAAAAAAAAAAGAAAAGAAAAAAAAATATACTACAACTCCTACTAGGTACAGCATAGTTCTGTTTATATGCCTGCCCACAAAACATCCTTTCACAGAATATTTTCTCCCTCCCGACCTACATACCCGATGGCTTCCCTGTAACAGCACCCAGGCTCATCTTGGGTGATCTATTAACAGTAACAGATAATCTTTTAAACTTTAAAATCTCCCATCTACGGAACGCAAGATTATCTTCCAGTCACTTCAGCTGGAACATCTCTACTCCACTGCCACAGAAACTCTGCCTATGTACATTGAAAACTACTTAACTTAAATATTAACCCCTCCCCCCTCCCTCACCCCCCACCTTTCCTGACTTTTTTTCCCTCTACCTCCCTCGTCTTCCCATACAAATCTTTTCCCATTTATACGCCCCCACAGAACCTCCCATCCCCTCCCTTACAGAAGCTCCCGGTTATGTTGAATGCTTTTCAGGAAACAGCAAATTAAAAAAAAAAAAAAAAAGTGCAGACGTGGAGAACCCAGGAGAAAAAAAACAGGGAGCGAGGAAGGGAAGGGGTAACAAGAGTCGTCAGGGAGATGATGGAGCGGTGTGAGGAAGAAGTGGTCCCTTCGGGAATATGCGGAACGGTTAGGTTTTTCAATTGTCCCGTTTGTGCATGTATCGGCTGAAAGAGAGAGCAAGAGAGGACGGGTTACAAGTCATGTTAAAGGGCAACCCCGGTAGGACTGTGAGATATACAGCGGTAACAGACACTATGACCTGACAAACCATTAATAAAGTAATGTGATTGTTTATTATAAACTATAGCACAGAAAACGGAGAGAGGGATTCTTCATTAGATGATTGGATAACAGGACCTCCAAAAGAGTTAGATCTTTCCGTACCCATCATCCTCAGAACAACTGTCTCACCAGCCCATTTACTTGCAGTAGTGACTTGCAGCCCATGTGTTTGCAGTAGTGATGCACCGACACCAATACCGAGCATTTGCACGAGTCTTCGTACTAATGCCGATATCTAAAACCAATACCGCCGCTTTATTGATGCAAATTAAGTGGCTGCCTTAGGTCCAGTGCCTGCTGGGGACCATGTGGCAGCCTTCTTGGGAACTATGCAGCGTCTGTTTACACTTCTCCCCCTCCTGAGACCCTCCGCCTCCTGAGACCCTCCGCACCTCTTCCCCTCCTGAGACATCAGGCCGGTACCCCACAGTAGAGCGGCAGCACAGAGTGCTCTATGCAAGTATGGTGCAGCAAAACTGCACCTGAACGCCACAGCTATGTTATCCTGCTGTTTCTGTCCTGTGCTTTATTCTGCATTGCTGTATAATGTATTGCTGAGATTTGTAGCATTCTATAGCTGGTGGTATTCTGCATTGCTGTATAATGTATTGCCAAGATTTGTGGTCCTCTATAGCTGGTGCCATTCTGCGTTACTGTATAATGTATTGCTGAGATTTGCGCTCCTCTATAGCTGGTGCCATTCTGCGTTGCTGTATAATGTATAGCTGGGATTTGTAGTCCTCTTTAGCCGGTGCCATTCTGCATTGCTGTATAATGTATTGCCGAGATTTGTAGTCCTCTATAGCTGGTGGTATTCTCCATTACTATATAATGTAATGTTGAGATTTGTAGTCCCTCTACAGCTTGGAGCAGGGACAGAACTACCAGGGTTGCAGCAGTCGCAGCTGCTGCACCACTGTGCTAAAATCATTAGTCTGTATTGTTTTTAAAAACTGTCCCATGACACTAAAAAAGGCATCGGTAATTGGTATTGGTACTTGAGGAAAAGTCTCGGTACTAGTACTTGGTCTGAAAAAAATATGTTATCGGTGCATCCCTAGTTTGCAGTACCTCCCGACCTCGGAGTGGGATTGACCTGGCAGCTGCCAGGGACACCTACTATTTAGAAATACAGTTCAAGAACTGACTTGCCATGCTCCCCTTGTATCCTCGAGGGTTTTGATTATATGGCAGATATCTCAGTGATGTCACCAGATTGTGGTGAATGGATAGACTCCATTCTCAGTGATGTCTCTGCGACCGGTTAGTCAGTGTAAATTACATTAATAAAAACACTGATGAGACAGATTGCTCGGTTATAACAAGCCTCATTTACAATAACCTGATGAAAAGGAAGAAGCGCGGTGCCACGTTCAGCAATCAGATGTGTGATATGATTTCTTTAGCCACAGTCAGAAAGTGTAACAGCTGGAACCTGGATGACTGCAATGGCTGGTTATAAATGAGCCCAACTGTCTTTTCCGTATGCTGACGCTACCAAAGCAGCTGCTGGTGAGAATAGACTGAAAAACCACACAGCTCCACCGATGGGCGGCTGCTACGTACTGCAATCATTGTCCGGCCAACTACAATAGGCTCACTAAAAATGATCAGAGCTGAAGATTTCTGGAATCACAGATGGTATTAACTAGGGATGCACCGATAGCGGTATTTTGGTACCGAGTACGAGTACCGATAATTTTTTTCCGGTATTCGCCGATACCAATTACCCATTCAGGAAGCCAGGTGGAGTGTAAAGACTGGCCACCCGGCTTCCCGATTAACAAGAAAGTCTGTCCCCTCTTACCTTGGTATGTGCAGCCTGTCACCCCCGTGGCCTCTCCAGCCAGAACACGGCCTTCCTCCGGTACCCAGCTGGAGCCGTCTGGCCGGCCAATCAGGAAGCCAGGCGCCGTGTAATGACGCGACGCCCTGCTTCCTGATTGGCCGGGAGGCCGGCTCCATGCTCCCTCATCATGAGATGACGAGGGAGCATGAAGCCAGCTTCCCGGCCAATCAGAATGTAATTACACGCTGCCCGGCTTCCCGATTGGTCGGGAAGCTGGCCAATCAGGAAGCCGGGCGCCGGCAGCGCCTGGCTTTCTGATTGGCCGGGAAGCCAGCTTCATGCTCCATCATCTCATGACAAGGGAGCATCGAACCTGCTTCCCGGGCAATCAGGAAGCAGGGTGCCGCATCATTACACGGCGCCCGGCTTCCATGAGTAGGCTCCATGCTCTCTCATCACAAGTGACGAGAGAGCATAGAGCCGCTTCCCGGCTAATCAGGAAACCGGGCAGCGTGTAATGACGTGCTGCCCGGCTTCCTGATACAGGAAGTACTTGTGCTAGGCATTGGAGCGAGTACGAGTACTCATCCAAATACTCGGCACCGATATCGATACTAGTATAGGTATCTGTGCATCCCTAGTATTAACTATAACTTGACCCAACCCAGCCCACAGTGTTTGCACCTGCAACCACACATGAAACACACCTTTACTGCTGACATGTTACCATAACGTGTCATATCACTAGAGAGAGCCATCATATTATAATGGTACTGTTATATTACAGGGGGGAGCCGAGGCTTTACCTGTGACTGCCACAAAAGACTACTGCACAGCGCAAAAAACTGTTAGACGTGCCAATTACAAGCAATGGTCAGAGGCTGCTGCCATATTCCAAATGACGTGGTGACAGCTTCCATGTAATGACTTTGTTTAAAAGGACCTATTGTAAAAGTTGTGGCCCAAAAAAAAGGCAAGCAGAGTGCATTGGGTTAGTCACCAGTATTGCCCGTGGTCTCCCTGCAGCTTTCCCCATTACTGACTTACTATGCCTTGTTCGGCACTATGTATGTGTTGAAGTGGCCATCTTGATAGAGGAGCAAGTGTTTGCTTCCTCATGGCAGAACCTCATGACTGGTGATCTGAGATAGAGAAGCAGCAGGAGATAGAGAGGGAGCACAGATAAGGGATGCTCCGATACTACTATTGGTGCAGACACTGGGTATTCGGGTGAGTACTTGTACTCACCCAAATGCTCCGATACTTACCCCCAATTCCGGAACTTCCTGTCAGAGGGAGATTTCCTCTGACCGGCACTGCCCAGAGGGAACATGGAGCCGGCTCACCGGCCAATCAGGAAGCCAGGCTGTGCGTAATGACTTACAGCCTGGCTTCCAGATTGGCCGGGAAGCCGGCTCCATGCTGTTTGGCCGGCTCAATGCTGATTGGCCGGGACAGCATGGAGCCGGCTTCCCGGGCAATCAAGAAGCTGGGCAGTGGGTAATTACATGCCGCTTGGTTTTGTGATTGCCTGGGAAGCCGGCTCCATGCTAACGGAAGTAGCGGTATCTGTGAGTGCAAGCCCGGCTTCCAGATTGGCCGGGAAGCCGGCTCCATGCTGTTTGGCCGGCTCAATGCTGATTGGCCGGGACAGCATGGAGCCGGCTTCCCGGGCAATCAAGAAGCTGGGCAGTGGGTAATTACATGCCGCTTGGTTTTGTGATTGCCTGGGAAGCCGGCTCCATGCTAACGGAAGTAGCGGTATCTGTGAGTGCCGAAATATAAATATCAGTACTCGATACTGAAAAACCGGTATTGGTGCATCCATAGCACAGATCCACAGAAAGAATAAAGGAGGGAGATCCTTGCACTGTAGATCCTCAGGTGCAGCTTTCGCTCCAGCAAGGAGAACAGAGAGTACTTACATCACCAAATCCCACTCCAAATGTCCTGAGACTAGTAGTCAGAGGCAGCGGTGCCTAAAATGATCTCATAACGCAGCCTGAAGGCACAGGTGTACCTAGGCACACGAAGTGCACGGCTATTTTTTAGGAGGAACTGAAGCCAAAATTGTACGTTTTCAGGGAGCTGCTTAAAGAGACGCTGCCACTTTGTCCATTCAGAAACAATCATGTACAGTAGGTTCGTTCCAAACAAGCTCCAATACTAAGGAACTAGAGAATGTCTCATTTCTGCTCACCTATCACCAGTCGTATCGGCGGGATGGGCGGGCTGTGCTGTCTTCAGGTCCCTGGATGGCGAGTCTCTCCTCTGGGGCTGGTCTCCTTCTATATTGCAAACCCCTCTGATTCCGGTAACGCGAGGTCCCCCTGTGCCATTCTTCATTAAAATCAACAGCATCATCTAAATTATACATTGAACAAAAGAGACCCCCATTAGGCGAGACTTTCATTGAGCACCTATGTCATACAATGTAACATTTTATAAATCAAGGTCAAATTAAAGGCGGACCTAACTGCATTAATACTCACGCAGCTGGGCGGATCCAGACAGAATTGTCGGGATCCGTTCTGGCTGCGGCGTCTCAGTATCTCAGCTCGCGGTATACTGAGCTTTGGGTGACGGGAGGACGCTAGTTCGTGTCCTCCCGTTACCCTTAGGAGAACTATGGGGGAAGGCACTGACCCCATAATTCTCCTTTAAGAAAAAGCGATAAGGTCACCTGCCCATAGATAATAATGAAGGCACACTGCCTATCACACAGTAAGGTAATACTCTCCCTGTCACACACTCCTTGGTCAACTCTCCTTGGCAGGAGTGAACCCTGGGTAAGTTCTGTTGTCTGTGTTTGTGTGTGTATGTGTGTGGGGGGGGGGATGCTGTAAGCCAATATTGGTCACCTTGCCCTGCATAGGCAGTCTTCTTAAATGCCAACCTGGAAAAAGCAAGTCATGCAGTACTCTGCTTGCAAATCACGCCATGTGATATCATCTTAAGTCTCATGCTGACATCAGTTTCTATTAACTTTTGCTGAAGACTGTGCCAACATTGGCACCTCAATGCATGCCACCTTCGCTTTAAGACATGTCAGAGCACCGCAGCTTAGAGGTCCGTCTCTTTTCACTTTACCGCTCATAACCTGCCTGCTGTTTTGCAGTTTATGTCTTCTTCACCTATTATCCGGCTCAGTAGTGTGAGCCAAGTTAAAAGGGGCAGCCAATTAGGTTTAAAGTTTTCCTCATTAGATCCACCTAAGCAAACAGCTTACTTTCATCCATGTTAATATACTCCTGCCGGTCCTCACGGTCTCCTGTGCGATGGTTGTGAGAGCGCTGCATGATATGTGCCCGCTCTCCAATATGATGACCGATGCTCATCTGTTCCATCCCGCTATCTGAATCCCGCATTGTGCGTCTTGTCTCGCAAATCTAGGAGACATAAAAGAAGAAGGTCAGCTTACACAACCCGCAACCCGTTGCATCCAAACAGATTTCTGTTTACCGAAGTCCGATCAGAGAAAGCGAATTGCTGTAGGAAGTAGCCAGCTTGATTGACGCTTAGCGTTACAGGTTCAAGGCATTACTCACCCCCCCAGGAGCGGTGCAGGTCTGCGACGTCTCCTGATATACTTTAGGGGCACCACTGCCCAACATATTGGAGTAGGATATGATCGTGGAAGAAGAGAACGTCTGACAGTTTGACCCATTGGAAATCTGCTCCTGTCAGAGAAACAACAACACCACCACACTGATCAATATATTTACAGATCGAGTATCAGAAGGACTGATTAATCAAGGCTCCAAGTAAAAGAGAGAGAGAGAGAGAGAGGGAGACAGAGAGAGAGAGTGAGTCTGTGTGTGTGTGAGAGAGAGAGAGGGAGACAGAGAGAGAGAGAGTGAGTCTGTGTGTGTGTGTGTGAGAGAGAGGGAGACAGAGAGTGTGTGTGAGAGAGAAAAGGTGTGGGTGAGAGGGTGAGAGAGAGAGGGTGAGAGAGAGAGGGTGAGAGAGAGAGGGTGAGAGAGAGGGTGAGAGAGAGGGTGAGAGAGAGAAAGAGAGTGTGTGGGTGAGAGAGAGTGAGGGTGAGAGAGTGAGGGTGAGAGAGAGAGAGAGAGAGAGGGGGGGTGAGAGAGAGAAAGAGAGTGTGTGGGTGAGAGAGTGAGTGAGAGACAGAGAAAGAGAGAGTGTGTGGGTGAGAGAGAGAGTCTGTGAGAGAGAGAGAGAGCGTGTGGGAGAGTGGGCGTGTGGGCGAGTGAGCGTGTGGGAGCGTGAGCGTGTGGGAGAGCGAGCGTGTGGGAGAGTGGGCGTGTGGGCGAGTGAGCGTGTGGGAGCGTGAGCGTGTGGGAGAGCGAGCGTGTGGGAGAGTGGGCGTGTGGGCGAGTGAGCGTGTGGGAGCGTGAGCGTGTGGGAGAGCGAGCGTGTGGGAGAGTGGGCGTGTGGGCGAGTGAGCGTGTGGGAGCGTGAGCGTGTGGGAGAGCGAGCGTGTGGGAGAGTGGGCGTGTGGGCGAGTGAGCGTGTGGGAGCGTGAGCGTGTGGGAGAGCGAGCGTGTGGGAGAGTGGGCGTGTGGGCGAGTGAGCGTGTGGGAGCGTGAGCGTGTGGGAGAGCGAGCGTGTGGGAGAGTGGGCGTGTGGGCGAGTGAGCGTGTGGGAGCGTGAGCGTGTGGGAGAGCGAGCGTGTGGGAGAGTGGGCGTGTGGGCGAGTGAGCGTGTGGGAGCGTGAGCGTGTGGGAGAGCGAGCGTGTGGGAGAGTGGGCGTGTGGGCGAGTGAGCGTGTGGGAGCGTGAGCGTGTGGGAGAGCGAGCGTGTGGGAGAGTGGGCGTGTGGGCGAGTGAGCGTGTGGGAGCGTGAGCGTGTGGGAGAGCGAGCGTGTGGGAGAGTGGGCGTGTGGGCGAGTGAGCGTGTGGGAGCGTGAGCGTGTGGGAGAGCGAGCGTGTGGGAGAGTGGGCGTGTGGGCGAGTGAGCGTGTGGGAGCGTGAGCGTGTGGGAGAGCGAGCGTGTGGGAGAGTGGGCGTGTGGGCGAGTGAGCGTGTGGGAGCGTGAGCGTGTGGGAGAGCGAGCGTGTGGGAGAGTGGGCGTGTGGGCGAGTGAGCGTGTGGGAGCGTGAGCGTGTGGGAGAGCGAGCGTGTGGGAGAGTGGGCGTGTGGGCGAGTGAGCGTGTGGGAGCGTGAGCGTGTGGGAGAGCGAGCGTGTGGGAGAGTGGGCGTGTGGGCGAGTGAGCGTGTGGGAGCGTGAGCGTGTGGGAGAGCGAGCGTGTGGGAGAGTGGGCGTGTGGGCGAGTGAGCGTGTGGGAGCGTGAGCGTGTGGGAGAGCGAGCGTGTGGGAGAGTGGGCGTGTGGGCGAGTGAGCGTGTGGGAGCGTGAGCGTGTGGGAGAGCGAGCGTGTGGGAGAGTGGGCGTGTGGGCGAGTGAGCGTGTGGGAGCGTGAGCGTGTGGGAGAGCGAGCGTGTGGGAGAGTGGGCGTGTGGGCGAGTGAGCGTGTGGGAGCGTGAGCGTGTGGGAGAGCGAGCGTGTGGGAGAGTGGGCGTGTGGGCGAGTGAGCGTGTGGGAGCGTGAGCGTGTGGGAGAGCGAGCGTGTGGGAGAGTGGGCGTGTGGGCGAGTGAGCGTGTGGGAGCGTGAGCGTGTGGGAGAGCGAGCGTGTGGGAGAGTGGGCGTGTGGGCGAGTGAGCGTGTGGGAGCGTGAGCGTGTGGGAGAGCGAGCGTGTGGGAGAGTGGGCGTGTGGGCGAGTGAGCGTGTGGGAGCGTGAGCGTGTGGGAGAGCGAGCGTGTGGGAGAGTGGGCGTGTGGGCGAGTGAGCGTGTGGGAGCGTGAGCGTGTGGGAGAGCGAGCGTGTGGGAGAGTGGGCGTGTGGGCGAGTGAGCGTGTGGGAGCGTGAGCGTGTGGGAGAGCGAGCGTGTGGGAGAGTGGGCGTGTGGGCGAGTGAGCGTGTGGGAGCGTGAGCGTGTGGGAGAGCGAGCGTGTGGGAGAGTGGGCGTGTGGGCGAGTGAGCGTGTGGGAGCGTGAGCGTGTGGGAGAGCGAGCGTGTGGGAGAGTGGGCGTGTGGGCGAGTGAGCGTGTGGGAGCGTGAGCGTGTGGGAGAGCGAGCGTGTGGGAGAGTGGGCGTGTGGGCGAGTGAGCGTGTGGGAGCGTGAGCGTGTGGGAGAGCGAGCGTGTGGGAGAGTGGGCGTGTGGGCGAGTGAGCGTGTGGGAGCGTGAGCGTGTGGGAGAGCGAGCGTGTGGGAGAGTGGGCGTGTGGGCGAGTGAGCGTGTGGGAGCGTGAGCGTGTGGGAGAGCGAGCGTGTGGGAGAGTGGGCGTGTGGGCGAGTGAGCGTGTGGGAGCGTGAGCGTGTGGGAGAGCGAGCGTGTGGGAGAGTGGGCGTGTGGGCGAGTGAGCGTGTGGGAGCGTGAGCGTGTGGGAGAGCGAGCGTGTGGGAGAGTGGGCGTGTGGGCGAGTGAGCGTGTGGGAGCGTGAGCGTGTGGGAGAGCGAGCGTGTGGGAGAGTGGGCGTGTGGGCGAGTGAGCGTGTGGGAGCGTGAGCGTGTGGGAGAGCGAGCGTGTGGGAGAGTGGGCGTGTGGGCGAGTGAGCGTGTGGGAGCGTGAGCGTGTGGGAGAGCGAGCGTGTGGGAGAGTGGGCGTGTGGGCGAGTGAGCGTGTGGGAGCGTGAGCGTGTGGGAGAGCGAGCGTGTGGGAGAGTGGGCGTGTGGGCGAGTGAGCGTGTGGGAGCGTGAGCGTGTGGGAGAGCGAGCGTGTGGGAGAGTGGGCGTGTGGGCGAGTGAGCGTGTGGGAGCGTGAGCGTGTGGGAGAGCGAGCGTGTGGGAGAGTGGGCGTGTGGGCGAGTGAGCGTGTGGGAGCGTGAGCGTGTGGGAGAGCGAGCGTGTGGGAGAGTGGGCGTGTGGGCGAGTGAGCGTGTGGGAGCGTGAGCGTGTGGGAGAGCGAGCGTGTGGGAGAGTGGGCGTGTGGGCGAGTGAGCGTGTGGGAGCGTGAGCGTGTGGGAGAGCGAGCGTGTGGGAGAGTGGGCGTGTGGGCGAGTGAGCGTGTGGGAGCGTGAGCGTGTGGGAGAGCGAGCGTGTGGGAGAGTGGGCGTGTGGGCGAGTGAGCGTGTGGGAGCGTGAGCGTGTGGGAGAGCGAGCGTGTGGGAGAGTGGGCGTGTGGGCGAGTGAGCGTGTGGGAGCGTGAGCGTGTGGGAGAGCGAGCGTGTGGGAGAGTGGGCGTGTGGGCGAGTGAGCGTGTGGGAGCGTGAGCGTGTGGGAGAGCGAGCGTGTGGGAGAGTGGGCGTGTGGGCGAGTGAGCGTGTGGGAGCGTGAGCGTGTGGGAGAGCGAGCGTGTGGGAGAGTGGGCGTGTGGGCGAGTGAGCGTGTGGGAGCGTGAGCGTGTGGGAGAGCGAGCGTGTGGGAGAGTGGGCGTGTGGGCGAGTGAGCGTGTGGGAGCGTGAGCGTGTGGGAGAGCGAGCGTGTGGGAGAGTGGGCGTGTGGGCGAGTGAGCGTGTGGGAGCGTGAGCGTGTGGGAGAGCGAGCGTGTGGGAGAGTGGGCGTGTGGGCGAGTGAGCGTGTGGGAGCGTGAGCGTGTGGGAGAGCGAGCGTGTGGGAGAGTGAGTGAGTGAGAGAATGAGTGAGTGTGTTTCTTTCTCACATCCAAGCTAAATACGCAGTTAAAATACACATGTGATGTTTTACATGCCAAAATATGTACAATACTGTTCAGTCAGTGTTATGATTCACAAACGCCTGCCATGCAGCACAGCCAGGTTGCTGATTTCACTTTTTTCAACTGCTGTTAATCAGCACACCTCGGTCACTGACCTGCCCCGTCTCTGCTAACTGGACAATGAAGGAGAATCACCTTCTTGTGTTCATCACTCTGCTCTCTCTGCCTGTCTGCAACATTTCCAGTCTTATACCCACATTCTCCCCTCTCTCCAAGCCTGCTGTGTCGGGGATAACAGGGGAACCATATAAAAGACACAATTTAAGACTTTAAATATATTTTTTAATACAGCCAGTGTATGCAAACCTAAATCGATAAAGTTCATTATTAATGTCATTTCAAAAGCCAATTCCAGCATGTGACAATAATATCTGGGGATTCCACGTATGAGGCCCAATGACTCAGATGTATCGCTAAAGCACTCCACAGATGACTGCGCAAATCAATCCATCATGGGGGGCATGTGTCAGCCCCCGAGGGCATACTTCCCTTATGACGGGGCAAATGCCAATCATCCAGCAGAGTGCAGCAATGCCTGTAAGGAAAATACTTTTTTTCTCACCAGCAGCCGTGGGATCCAAGATGGCGGAGGATGGGAATGTTAAAAGGAGAACTATGAGGGGAGTGCTTTTCACTCACCTCATAGTTCTAGCCGACCTGTGACAATGAGACTGTCTGAGGTCGGCTCAGTAGATTGGGAGGTGAGCGAACACATACCGGCGTACGCCCCCGTCTCGATCCTGTCACGGCTCTCTGCCGTGACAGGGGAGGGGCTGGATTCCCCCCTCCTCCAGCGCTGACTGGTGGAACGGACGGGGGAGGGTACAGCTGGCTCTGCCTCTAGATAGGCAGAGCCAGCTGTCACTCACGCAGCTGGGCGGATCTCGACATCGATGTCGGGATCCGCTCCGGCTGCGGCGCCTCAGTATACCGCGAGCTGTTGCTCGCGGTATACTGAGCCTAGGGTGACAGGAGGACGCTAGTTTGTGTCCTCCCGTTACCCTAAGGAGAACTATGGGGAAAAGCCCTGACCCCATTGTTC